CCTCAGCCTTATCCTCATCCTTGGTGACAAAGTTGCCCCCTGCATCCAATAAGGGATGGAGATTCTCCTTGGCTCTCTTTTTGTTGTTAATATATTTGTAAAAACATTTTTTGTTATCCCTTACAGCTGTGGCCAGATTGAGTTCTAGCTGGGCTTTTGCCTTTCTAATTGTCTCTCTGCATGACCTAATGAGATCCTTGCACTCTTCTTGAGTTGCCTGCCCCTTCTTCCAAAGTTGATAAACTCTAATTTTTTCCCCGAGTCCCAGAAGAAGTTCCCTGTTTAGCCAGGCCGGTCATCTTCTCCACCAGTTTGTCTTACAGTACATGGGGGGGGGAACATAGACTTTGGGCTCGCAGGGGTTTGTTTTGTTTTGTTGAAGACATGACTGCAAATGTTTTTAGATATTACTGGCTGTAACTGTTTCTGCCATTCCTTGAGGCTGTGGTCTGTGCTCAGACCTGTGAGGTATGTGACAGTACTGGGTGACTTCAAAGAGCACATAAAGATTTCCTTTCCTAGATCTCCAATCCAGACTCTATCCACCAACAACCAATATGATATTATTATTGGATGGCTTTTTAATGGCCTATACAGAAAGGGTTTGGTCTCAGCCCAGCTTCTAGTGAAGAAATACACACTTCATAGCAGCCCCTTGCTTAGCTGGTCCACCAAGTCACCAAGGTAAGCCATTAGTACATTTTTAACAGTGAATCTCTTTGTCTTGAATTTGGTGAGTTTTGTTTTTGCATGTAGATAGATGCTTAAAATGCAGATGAGGTTCATGGCACCTTTTTCAGGAACTCTTGGAAGATCACCTAGATCTTTAGCACACCCACCCAAAAAATCACTCCTGTCCCTTTGTAGCATCTACCTAGTTACAATTGCTTCAGTTAAGCAGCATCCTCCTTTGAATTGTGCCTTTCCATCAGAACTACAAGGCAGAGGGGGCGGGGAGGGAGGAAGAAAAAAAAAATACCTTGTATCCCAAGTCGGGCAGTGCAGATTGATCCCAGTGGATAGGACAGGCTTGATTTGGAATAGAAGAATCCCTCTGTCTGTGTGTAAGCAGTCAGAAAACAAGGTGTTAGTAATTCTAGTCCTGCTCTGAACATTCAAATTGGCAGCATCCCCTTTGGCCAATTCCCACATTTAAAAAAATCCCACAAAGACACTGGGAAACAGTCTCAGTCTGAGAGCTGGGCTTTGCATGCTGCCATTCAATTGCCACAGTCCTCTCTCACTTGCTTCTTTAAGAAACAACTGCCCATCACTAGTCCTGCGGATGTGGTACCTGGAGTAGATTGTACCCCAGAAACAGGTGATGCACCAAGCCAGCAGTTTGTGATATAGCTTCTGTTCAGTCAAATGGATACATTTTCTTCTAGCAACAGCTGCGTTCTTCGTGCCATTACCGCCAGCACTGGCAGCTGTTTTGCCTTAGAATTAGTCCTGAATTATGGGAAAAAAAAAAAAGCAACACACCAACTTAAAGCTCATCATTTACCCTTTCTTTATCTTCTGCACATCTTCAAAAGACACAAACTTTGGTCGCCTGCAGACCCTTCTTCTGGTTTTAAAAGAGATGTTTGTCTGGGTCATTTCTTGAGGAGAAAACAGAAGGAAAAAGAAAAAGTCATTAATAAGTCCACAAGACGGGGCCATTAATTAATGACATTCATTCATTAATGAAAAGTGCATATTCATTGTCAATTCTATCTGATGAAGAATAGTTGCACAAAGCCTATGTAAGCTTCTTGTCCTTCCTGTATCTCTGTTATTTAACCTGTGCGTAACTTGTAACTTGCTTGCTCCCTTAAGCCATTCATGCTCTTTAAACCTTGCTCCAGCAGCACAGAAAGATGCTTGATTTTTCATTTTTACCGTCCACAGGGTTAACTCACTTTACTTATGGTTTACTATGACTTTATGTGAAGACTACAAATCTTTCTATTTCTGGTCCAATGTAAGTCTGGGCAGTGTCAAGGAATAAGGGGGAAGGTTACTTTTGTAAGGCATTTCCACTGGGCCATCACTACCTTACTTCCCCTTCCAATGAGTAAAGCTGGTCATGTTAGTAAAAGAAGTCATAGCTCCTAAAAGCTGGGATAGCTTGCAAGTTAGTCTTTGTAAATCACTGCATAGTTGTAAATGAGTACCTTTAAAACTGAGATCATAATCATGCAAGCCAGCCTGGAAAGATATGGTGGCATCTGGATCTGCTAGATACAAATTCTCAATAACATCAGAAGATGGCGATTTCACACTATCCCCTTCTCCCTTTGCCGGGTGGGTGTTGGGGGCGGGGGGGAGAGAAAAAAAAAAAGAGAGAGAGAGAGAGAGAGAGAGAAGAGGAATTAGTAAACACAGTCAGGACTAAACCCTGGATAACTGGTTTGGGTAGAGGGAAAGAAGATGCAGAGTACAATTAACAGGAATCTACTCAGAACTATCATGGCCTAAAGTGCAATTACTAAACACTTATACATACTATATATATATAATAATATATAATATATAATCAGTAACGACAGACACACATGTATGCCATTTAAATCTCTGTAACAAGTTGTACTAGTTTGGCTGGGATAAAGTTAATTTTCTTCATAGTAGCTAGTATGAGGCTATGTTTTGGATTTCTGCTGAAAACAGTGTTGGTAACACAAGGATGTTTTAGTTACTGCTGAGCAGCGCTTACACAGAGCCAAGGCCTCTTCTGCTCCTCACCCCACCCCACCAGCAAGGATGCTGGGGATGCACAAGAAGTTGGGAGGGGACACAGCCAGGATACCTGACCCCAACTGACCTAAGGGATATTCCATACCATAGGACAACATGCTCAGCATATAAAGCTGGGGAAGAAGGAGGAAAGCGGGGGACATTTGGCGTTATGGCGTTTGTCTTCCCAACTAACGGTTATGCGTGATGGAGCCCTGCTTCCCTGGAGATGGCTGAGCACCTACCTGCCCATGGGAAATGGTGAATGCATTCCTTGTTTTGCTTTGCTTGTGTGTGCGGCTTTTGCTTTCCTTATTAAACTGTCTTTATCTCAACCCACAAGTTTTCTCACTTTTACCCTTCTGACTGTCTCCCCCATCCCACTGTGGGGGAAGTGAGTGAGCGGCTGTGTGGTGCTTAGTTGCTGGTTCGGTGTGAAGGATGCACTCAACTCCTTGACCAAACAATTGTTAGTTTGGTTCAGGCTCCAAAGGAAGCCAAGGCCTAGGCCGTGACCAGGCCATGAACTTCTCTAGTTACAACCTGTTCTCTGAAAACCCACACAGGAACAGGGTGACATGGTGAGCATTGATGCGTATGAGCTTGGAAACTGGAACACCAATCATGCGATTAACACATGAATAGAAGGTGGTTCTTCCAAGACTAATTTGTCAAGGAACAAAGGAAGTTGTGGGTACAAGCAGTCTCATGCTTACTTTTTCCAATCGCATGTAATTTGACTACGAGCCAACACTTTATTCCACAAATATGACGGCCTGAGTGAGCTTTCTTTGAGCTCTCCCTGCTAAGGAGCGGGCTGCACAGCAAGTGATCTCCCCTTGAGCTGGAACACCTCTCAAGGTTACTTCTTGAGGCTGAGAGACCCCTTACCAACTGCAGATCTTTGGTTAGCGACCAATAGCACCCATAACCTTGCATAATAGTGTACTAAGATTTCGTATGGGTAACTTTGAGTTATTATTATACCCTCTGTGCAGTAATAGAGAACCAGGCCATTGGACTTTGTTCATCCTACTTCAATAAAACTACTTTTGCTGCTACCTTTGGCAGTGGTTCTTTAAATGGTCTAAAATCTCCTCCGTGACAGACTAGTGTAGTTGGCAGATTCTAAATCTGCTCCATGACACCGTGGTTAAACCATGATGCAAGTATAATTCTCTAATGTACAAAACAATGTAAAATATGATGGTATGCTGATGGAGACGCTTTCCATTTAAGCTGCCTACCGAAATCAAGGTCCACCATTACAAGAGTCACTATATACATCATCTTTCCCTGCCTACTTTTCCACCTCCTTGGATCACCTTTGTGTTATGCCAGTTGTGCAGCTATACTGTAAACCAGATGGGGAAAACTCATCGGCCTTGGAGGAAGGAGAGATCCCTTATTTATTTCTTTTCCTGCATTTTTCAGATAGATCACTTTCTCATCAAAGAGGACTTGGCCACCAAGAGAAAAACGTAACATTTGATCCAAGAGAGCAGAGCAATCTTTGCATGTCCGAGGAAGCAGGACAATGCTCAAAAGAGAGGCAAAACTACTTCCTGAATAATTTAAAAGGCAATACATCTCAAGGACAGTGTATACATGTTAAATCTGTGTAGAAGCCATGGACAACTTCAAAAGGGAATCTGACTAGAGAAGGCAGCATGCATCATCAAAAACAGTCTGATCAACATCAGCTGGAAAAAAAGGAATTTTGCCTTCCTCCATTTGCCAACAAGGTCTTTGTCAGAAAAGCAGTTGCAACAAATCATCCAGACACAAAGGCAGTTGTTCATACTGAACCTCGCTGCAAGGAGATAAGGTGTGTTCCCTCCCCTCCAGCCTGTCATCATTTTATCACATCTGTTACAAACATCTGCAGCTTCACCGCCTTACCTGACACTGTAAAATTCAAGCACAAGTATTTGCTTAATTAATCTTGCTGAGCAAAGGGGAATGGGGAGGAAAAAGCTCCATACATTTCTCCAAAAGTGATTCAAAGCACAGGATGTGGACTCACCTGTTCTCCATATTCAATCCACTGGCCTTGGTCATTCTTCCAATACCAAATCCACTTTGTAGTCAATGCAAATGTGGGTTTTGTGACTGATGATGGCGTAGAGAGACGTCGAAGTGAAGACGAACAGCAGGTCATTGTCTGGAAATTAATATTCTTACCTGCTATGCTGTAAGGACAAATTCAGGTTTATTATAGTTAATAGTATATATTTTATCCTCTAATGCCCAGTTTAAGCTGGTGCAATTTTATTTAATCTATTGTGACTGCCTGAACTTAATTAGGCCCGAAATAAGAGTATTTCCCACAGCACACATGGCAGCTCTGAAAACTGTTTCCAATCTTCAGAAGCAAACTATGGCCTGTGAGAGACTGAATGCTATCTCAATCGCTAGTCAGATGTTGCACTGCCAGCTTTACAGACAGTATGGGGCTATATGTACAATGTGGCAAAAGGTATTTCTGCAATAAATAAGCATGGTTACAGCTTTTCTCAGTACAAAGAAGTTGGAAAGCATGCGACTGAGTTTGCCAGCAAACACCTGCAGCTTAACAACTTCTTTTTCTGTGGTTACAGAGGATGCAATCACAGCTGTGAGTCTATAAATAGCATTCATCACTGGAGCCAACTGGGCTCTTACTCCTGGGAAGCTCAAAAAATTAACTCTCAGGCAGAAAGACTTTGAAAGCAGTCTCCTCTTTGGAATCTTGTTTGTGATTTGCACCATCCAGCAGCCTAGTCAAGCTGCAAATCAAAAGCATCTGCTGTCTGAAGAGACATGGGCCAAAATGATTATGTCATTTTATTGCGGTCAAATGTGGGGTCCCCTATGAATCCAGGTGGCTTACAGTGGAGCTTTCAGAAAGGAGTTAAAGGGAAAATGTACTCTCTTAAAAAAAAAAGAAGAAAAAAAAAAGAAAAAAAAGATGAAAATAAAAAAGATGCACTACTTACACAAAGGGCATTTCATAAAATTCCTCCAAGCACATTATAGTTATTATTATATTACTATTATCAATACTAGCTGTATTAGGAAAGGAATAGCCATAGAGAGGGACCAGCTCTGAACTGTTGTTAAAAGGCCCAACTTAATTATTATAAATAAATCATGATTCATTATCTGAAATACTAACATTCTAAGCACTAAATTCCACCCACTTATTTTTACCCTTTATAGAGTTTTAAATGCAAGATATTGTTGTGCTATTTTTAGAAGACAAAAATGGGGTGCTATTTCCATGCAATCACTTTTACTTTTCTTTTTAAAAAAATAAAAATTCTCATTTGTACATCCTCCCAGATTCTGCGCAGCTCAGTAATCAGAAGTTATGGAAGTCAGACATCTTTAAGAAGAAAAGAAGTTTTTCCTCAGGGGCTCAACCACAGTCCTCTAACAAGCAGTCCAGTATCATTATACCTGCTGTTTTTTGGGTCACAATAGGCCTTTTCAATTTCTTCCATCATGGAAAGGTCATTCCAGGTGATCCCATTATATACCTGCCATCGATATGGCAAATGGTAATGAACAAATCTGCATTTATCTGTAATGAGATCAGACATAGTCAAGAGCTCTGCAATCATAACACAGAGAGCAAGACAAGTTAAAAAAAAAAAAAAAAGGAACAAGCATTTTTTATGCTCTGGCTTTATCTCCCAGGCTTTGGTATGAGCAATAAAGATAGAGTGCTGAAAACAGAAATATGTTTGAACAATAGGGGTGTGTGTTTCTCCCAGTCTTATCTAGAAAAGCAACATAAGCTCTCATACTGCCAAATACATTTCAAAGAAACCACAACCTTCCCTTTGCTGAGACACAACATTGGCAGCTGGGAGAGCAGTGCCACAGATAGCAAGTGTGTGTCTATGTGTCACACCACCGTGTTTCTCAGCTGTAAAAAGTCTAGCCTACACACCACATAAGCACTCTGATGTAT